CAAAAGTAAATTACTGTGATTCTCTGCCATTCCTCACCCCATAACATTTCCCCACACGTATTCTATCTTTCGATCAGCCTTTCAGGCTTAGTTCTTCTTCAACTCTATTAATAATAATTGTCATGAATATTTTAAACACTTACATATCCACTTATATATAAATCCAGACAGTCTAGTCCCAGGGATTGTACTCTTAATGACTGTGTTATGCTATCTCTTTAACAGCAGTTGTACTAAATATGTTTTCTGCTGACAGTACCAATAGCTGGGGTTTAGTTAATTTGTGAACAGAGGAAACCCAATGCCCTCAGAGTGCACTTGGTCTTGAACTAGAATTGAGAAGTTGGGCCACTGGAGGTGGTCTTGTAAGGACTCGTAAGTTTTGATAATAATTCATGGGTATATTTCCATTACCAATCCCAAATGTGTGATATAACAAAATTCAAGTGAAATGATCAGTATTGTGTAGGATAAAATATCTCCCAGTTATTTGTGTCATTGATGAGTATTTTCTTTAGGTCACTCTTTAAAGCAAGGAAACTAACTAGACTGGTAACTCCTCATCCTGCCAACATGAGACAAACATCCTGAGAGAGAAGACAGGGGAATAGAAAATAGCCCTGCGGAGTTCTCAGCAGTCATATTTCTTCAAGTTGATAAAACAGAGGCATCAAATTTTTAATAAAAATTAAAAGTGTGCTTGGATTCCTCTTTTTGTGTGTGCTTTACTTCCAATAATCTTATTTTCTTTAAATCTAGGGGAATAGTAGTCTTCTGAGAAGAATTATTTCTGTTCAACTTAATTATTTTCAGGGCTTTTTTCTTTTCTTTTCTTTCTTTTTTTTTGCTCCCACTGATTTTTTTTTGAAATTTCAGATTAATGTGAGGGTACAATTAGGTTACAGTGTTTTCACCTGTTCAACTTTAGAGCTAAAGGACACAGGACCAGAGAGCTGATCTCGGGTCTTTTTTAATGAGTTTAGAGAGAGAACTAGATTATTTGTCTGCTTCTTGCCTGCACCTGAGCAGCTTAATCAATCACCAGAAATAGATACACAACTGACTTAATCTCATTGTAAACGTATAGCAATCAATCTCATTTAGACGTTCAGCACTGCTTGACAGTCCCGCTAAACTTCCCTAACGTAGTCATCTGCTTACTTTCTAAGATGACCATTTTGCCCCTTTCCTTGTTTGGATAAGTCTTCCGAACTTTCTATTCATCCTCAGCTGATCATTTTCCTTGTATTTAATTTTAAAACAGTAGTAATCACACAGGAAGTTTCTCATCTTCCTACCACTAAAGCTACCTCCCCACCACATCAACCTCGGCCTCTTGCCATGTTCCTCTTAATATGTGTCCCTCTTTGTCTAAGACCAGCTCTTCTACTTGTGATCTGAACCCTACGCTTCTTGCCTTCTCAAGGATTCTCTCCCGCAATAGTTCCCCTCTCTATTCTTTACAAAAGTTCTCTATTCTAGTGCAATTTCAGCCAACATATGACTATGCTCATTTCCTATTCCAAGCACGAAACACAAGCTTGACACACATCTCCCCCAAGCTGCAGCCCCATTTCTTTAATCATTTTTATAATTTTACAATTATCATGAACTTCTGTCACTTTCTTACCACACGTTCTCTCCTTTAACTCCTCCTCCACGTAGGTAAATGTAACAGTCACCTCTCTGTTGAACTCTTAGCATTCAAGACAACTGACCACCCTTTCCTTTTAAAGCAACATTCAATGGGCATATTATGGCTATTGTTTCATAACACATCTTATAAAACTCAGTGGCTTAAAATAGCTATTCATTATTTCTCATGAGTCTATGAATCTTCCAAATGGTTCTTAAGGTATCCTCTTTGTTCACTTCTGTGTTTGAGGTCAAGGCCAGGTCATGTGGCTTGGCAGATCTGATCTGGGCTCTGACACTGTGGCTCGGCTAGGATGATCTCAGCTGGGATGTGTCAAAGTTGGGAGCTTTATATACTCTGGCCAACTCTATTCTAATAACTTTGTCTATCTAGGCCCTAGGCAGCAATAGTGGTGATGGCCTGATAGCAGTTCTTGCCTGTGTGTTTGTGTGGTAATACAGAGAAAAAAACCCTTCATCTTTAAATTTCTTTTAAATTCTGTGAATGGCATGGTTTTGTTTTCAGGTGCAATGGAAATAAATCTGTCTTTCTTCATTTTGTCTTTTCTGATCGTGCAAAGGTTCTAAAGGAGGGTAGAGAAGAATTCAAAATACACTTAGGCCATTTCATTCCTGTGTGAAGACCTGTATGAACAGGAAAAGTCTTTTAGAATAAGTACACGTACCAAAAAGTCAACTGAGAAAGTTCTCATAGACAAGTGAGTTATCTCTGAAATACATGACACCTTTTCCTATGTAAATAAAGTAAAACCTGGCAGCTCTACCATCTGTGATACTGTGAGAGTTCCTGGAAAATGAGTCATTCAGTTAGGCAAAGATGTGAAGCCATATTTGAATATAAAAATATGTGAGCTGCATAGAATCTAGGATGCTAGGGACAGCACATACTGTTGACAACAGAGTGTTTGGAATAGATGTGGAGTCACTGAAAAATGAATAAAGACTATAGGAAGTAAATGAGAAATACATGAGTAGGCTTGGGGCCCGTAGCACAGTGGTTATAGCCACTGGCCTGTAGCGTACAGCAAGGCTGGCGGGTTTGAATCCAGCCTGGGCCAGCTGAACAACAATGACAACCACAACCAAAAAAAAAAAAAAATAGCCTGGCAGTGTGGCAGGAGCCTATAGTCCCAGCTACTTGGGAGGATAAGGCAAGAGAATCACTTAAGCCCAAGAGTTTGAGGTTGCTGTGAGCTGTGATACTACCGTACAATATCGAGGGCGACATCATGAGACTCTGTCTCAAAAAAAAAGTACACACATATATATATATATAAACTACATGTATATGTAGTAAATTGTCTATAATTTGTATTCTTGTATACAAAAAATATATATAACTATTATATATTTTAGTTTTATATCTATTATATATAACTAAAACATACATGCTATTATATGTAGTAAATTGTCCTTTTTAAAAATTGGTCTAATTTAGTACGTAAACTTATATGCTAAAGGGCCTACAGAGATCATGAAGTTCAACCCCATTATGTAGATTATGACACTAAAGGAAAAGCTCAGGGCCAGAGAAGTTGGCTGAGTTAGCAATCGGCATAGATGGCTTGCTACGCGGGGTGGACGGCCACCCCATTCTTGCTGCTTTCTTCTGGATGTGGCGCCATTTAACTTCTGAGAAATATCTTCTACTGGGCTTAATGTATTTTTATAGGACTTGGGGACTGAAAATCATCCTATCTCCCAGCAGGCTCAGAAATTTATTATTATCTTGGGTATTGCAAATAACATATTCAAATTTTCACATCCAGAAATATTAATATCTTGATGGGTTTTTATGAGATAAGACAGAAGACTAAATCTTTGTGATAATAAGACAAATCACAAGGCTATGTTTCTCAGAGTTATCCTTTAACATGATAACACTTCCAATGTGCCATTTTACTCACTGTTTTATGCATCTCAGTGCTGTAGGATAAAGCAGTTGAATTCTGAGTCTGTATTGACGTGGAAATCCTCCATGATTGTCCCTAATTCAGGAAGACAACTTTTCTTGATGACTTCCTCCCTACATCCTTAATAAAATGAGGGGCAGTGTTCATAGAAACAGTTGATGCCTTTTGTTTTCTTAGTTGGGGCATCGGTTTTCCTTTTAGTAGATGGAAAATCTACCATATAAAACCAATACATTGGTTTGGTTTTAGTTGCCTTAAAAGTTGGGAAAATAGAAAAACAAATGGAACCCAAATTTTCCTCCTTGTGCCTAATTGGGAACATAAAATTGATGATTTCTGAAATATTAAAATATGTGGTAAAATTTTAACTATTTCTTTTAAAAAGAAATAATGATGCTAATAATGTAAAATGATGATCAATTAAAACATTTCAGTTTATGTTTGAAATTAATTATATGGATAGTTTGGCAACAATTAAAATGTATTGGTTCATATTTGTTTAGACTGGAATTAAAATTTGCCTGCATATATTCTTTGAAGATGAAAGACTTTATAGTATCCATGATTCTTAATGTTGCAAATATACAACCTTTCCAGGGAAGCACTTTGGTGAGAATTAGAGAATGTGGATATTGGAGTCATGTGACTGGGCTTGAAGCCCAGCCTGTCTTTCTCTTTTTGTAAATCAGGTACCAATACTGCCTATCCAATAGGATTAAGATAATTCATCCACTAACAAAGTACTTAGTACTTAATGAGAATTTAGCTTAGCTATTACTCGGAGATTGGGTGAATAGTATACTAACCTAGTATATATCTTAGGAGTTTTCTTTATTTTTTAATCCCAAAACATCTGTGCTATCAGCTTAACTTTTTCTTTTATAAATATACTTGAAAGAGTGTAACATCTGGTTAGTTGAGGTAGGCAGATAGAATGGTTATATTCCTTTTAAAGACTAGTTATGTAACCCATCATCCTTTGTCCCTTTGACTAACTAGTCTGTCTCCCCAGTGATCACTGCATTAAAAAAATCCTGGACATGAGCGCATTTTTAAATTGGTGTAAGAGTACTACTAATTATATCCCACTTTAAAAATTATCTTTTAGCAACCACAATTAAAAGTATAATTTATAAATTGATGAAAAGGAGAAGAAAGTTTTTAAAAGCCACACCCACGAAAAAGCTATCATGACCTTGTTCTTCTTTCACGTGTCAAAAAAACATGTTACTTTATATTCTTGACTTACTCCAAGTTAAATGATAAGGTCATAACTGTTACAAGGAAAAATAGAACAGCAGCTTTGCTTTTTTGTTTATCTGTTTAATTCAGTGCCCAGGAATGAATTATGTCAAATATTCTCTGTAGATGTTCAGTAAATTTAAGATCAGCATTTCCACTTCTTTAATATGAATACACAGCCATATGCAACCAGGTGGCACTCACACGCTTTTCTTTGAATGATATGCTGTGCATTTAGTTGGTGCCTTTATAGTTCACGTGGATTTCTGGCTTCATGTCGCAGACCATGCTCAAAAGCTGATTCAGTACGCTTTCCACGCACTTGCTGTAGCGTCCATTCAGTTCTTGTATCTTCCCTAGTGTTTCTTCTTCTATTTCATCGGAGAGATTACTCTGGGAACCCATTATCTACCAAAACAAAATAGAACGCACATTGCATTAAAATGTATTGTTTAATTAAACAAATTTGTCTAGGCTATTTATCAATGACCATTCTGTGGGGTACAACACACCTTGTATTATTTTTTCAGATTATTTTTGTTTGTTTGTTTTTAGAGAACAGACAAGATTACCAATACTAAGAGGGGGAAGGATAAACTCTCCTGAAAAATGAAAGCTGGCCATAGTTGGATGCCTTCATTTGTGCCCACATGGCACAAATTGAATGTAAATTTACAATTATTATAGTATTTTCAGAAGTTCTTTTCTGTCACATTTTTTATGTATTTATAATTCTATTCAGTTTCCATAGCTTCTCTATTGCTTAATTTCTGAATTGCAAATCTGAAAAATAAAGTTGAGTGATACCATTAAACCTACTTTTGATGGTTTTTAAAGAAAAAATAGCTGGTTTTCCTATTTCTTAAATATATGATCTGAACCAATTTTTTTTTTCTAGGAAGATAGCACCACAGTATACCCTGTAAGATATTTTTACATGCACAAGTATATTTTTTAGGGTAATAGATACAATCTTGAAAATTTAATGTAAATGGAATTACCTTCAAATTGAGATATACTTGCTCATTTAGTTATGCTATAATTTTAACATAGCTTAATATATCTTCCTGATTGCTCTTTAATGGGAAGTGATTTCTAGTATTTTCTATAATCTCCTTTTCCCTCTTAGCTTCTCCATCAAGTATTGATTTGACCAAAATACAATTTTATCAGAGGAGTTAACATAAAGAAATCCTGTAGTGAAACACTTCGAAAGTTTTCCTTTACTGAAGCAAACAATCAACTCTTCTTGGGTAAACTCAACTTTCTTATACATGACACTCCCACAGCAAGACAGCTGTTTTTTGTTTGTTTTTCTCTTTTGTGAGTGTTTAGGAAAAGTATGCATTTAATTTAATCCAAGAGACTCCACTAACATTGACTTTGACTTCAAGGTTATTTTACTATTCTAAATTCTAGAGTACATGATCTTACTGGGTCCTAAGCTTAAAATCAAATGTAATCTAGGCTATTAGGTTCATATTCTTTTCTGTTTACAGTCCAAGCAATAAGAGCTTCTCAGTTCAAAGAAAATAATTTTAAGAAGATAGGGCCTCTAAAACATCAAATAACTTTTACAAAATAACATTTTGATATGTGGAATATCAAATGTGAAGGGATATGTGGATTAAATTTCTCTTGCTCATAAGCTTAAAAGTAGAAGAGAACTATTCATCAAAATAATTCTACCATGCTCAAACATTTTACCTTTAAACTTAGAGCCTTCAGTGGGATTATACCAAACTCAAAATTTCCAGCAAGTACATGGCAAGGAGGGTACAGGATTTCTGGAATTTCTAGTTTTCAAAGAGAAGGCAGAAATGCATTTTTTAAAGTGTGATATCTCTTAATTATTGTGATTAACTCAAACTTTAAATACTCTGTGGGGGTGGGGGGAAGAAAAATAAGATCTAAGAATCAGAGACAAGATGGCTACTCAGAAGATATCAGCTGCACAGAAATTTCAGCTGCCAAATCATTTCAGAAAGAAGGAAAAGTTTTAGATGAAAAAGAAAAACAAGCAAACAAATAAACACAGACTGGGCGTAATTCTGAGAAAAGAGAGTCAGAACCTAATAGAGATTCCATGGAAAGAAGTAGAGGAGAGCAAGAAGGAAGAAGAGACCATCAGAGATCACTCCCTGAGAGGCTTGGAGTCCAGGCAAAAGGGTAGGTGAAGTGGTTTGTTTCTCCTTTCCACATAACCTTGGCAGTCAGCAGGCTCCCAAACTGCTGGAGAGCCATTTTATCCTCGTGAACTCAAAAGCTGCTCTGGCCAGTGAACTGGGAGCTTCTTGAGGACAAAGCACCAGGCTACCAGCCCCCTTGGTATTATTTCCCATAACTGCAGACCCAAGCTGAGAAGAAAGATGCCATATTCTCCACCTACTGGGCACCTTAGTCCTCCCCAGGGGATTTCAGCCCCTCAGTTTTCATCTCGCTCATTCCCACAAAAACAATTCCTAAATCTGGGCCCAGACTATAAGAGCCATAGGGGCCACTAGGTTCTGGTGGATCTGTGCGATCCCAGAGCCTGTACATTCTGGATGGACTACCTTCCAGAGAGAGGACCAGAGATGACTGGAGTGCTAGCTTTCCTCTATTCAGACTCTTTTTCTCCCCTTTCCTTCCCCTGCCTACAGAGGCCAAGAGAAATAATTGAGCCAGGCTCATAGGAGCAGCTGCTACCTCTCTGTTGGTGCATCTCCCACACTGAGACTTCCATAGAGAGTGGGGCTCACACCTTTTCTCCTAAAGACCCACAGTGGACTAAGGCCTGCTTGGGCTATGAACTCTCTGCTCATTGGTCCTCCTATGCTGCTTGCCCAGCTGCTCCATCAGATCAGGGCTCACCCTGAAGCAGAGGGACATTAAACTTACTTGAGTACCCTATTGGCAACTCTGGGCCAGCACGCTTCTCCCTGGTCATTCAGGGACTGATTTTGAGTGATCCAGGAACAGGCCTATAGGCCAGATCCTGTACTTCTAGGAGTCAACTAAAGAGAGTACAATGTGGGTCCCAGCTGCAGGGCACTTATGGAGTACGCCTCTTCCAACATAAGGCTGTGTACTCAGAAAGGATCCTGAGAGGGAGAGGGAGGCTCCTAGCTCATAGTCCCATTGCTGGGAAGCTCAGCTAGTTTCCACTTTTTAGAAGATGCCAGAGGAGGACTAAGGGACGGGGGTAGGAGGAGAAGACCAAAACCCACTCCTGACAGCCAGATTGTGAATCTCAGGTGGCCCCTCCTACACAAGCAGACTTTCTGGCTAGGCAGAGCTAGATGCCAGGGAGCAGACATATGGTCCCTGTGTAGACAACTACCTTAGTGGCTTTTGTGAAGCCTGAGTGCAAGCCCACCCAACCTAGTCCCCCACAATCTCATTTTTCCATTCACTTATGCTCTGGTAAATAATAAGAACTCTTATTCTAGAGGCCTGCTTAATACCTAGGGCATTTGAGTGCTTACCTCCTGAGGGGCTAGAGCTGGCCACAGGTCCCCAAATCAACACTGTAGGTGAGGCTCCATGCCCATAGCACAGTGGTTACAACACCACACATACACTGAGGCTGGTGGGTTTGAACCTGGTCCGAGCCAGCTAAACAATGACAGCTGTAATAAAAAATAGCCAGATGTGGATGCCTGCAGTCCCAGCTACTTGGGTGGCTGAGGCAAGAGAATTGCTTAAGCCCAAGAGTTTGAGGTTGCTGTGAGCTGTGACATCATGGCACTCTACTAAGGGTGACATAGTAAGACTCTGTCTCAAAACACAAAACAAAACAAAACACTGCAGGTGCTACTTCCCCGCAAGTGCCCCCTTCTGGCAGGGAGGTCCTTTATAACCCTTTAGCACATGTATTGATTCTATCATACCAAGTGTGATGGATTCTGACTGATAAGCATCACCTTGTGTCTTAGAGATTAAATGAAGCAGGCCAATACAATTCATACTGTTAAGACCATAACAGTAGTGGGGAGAGAGAAAGAATCCCAAATACTTCTATCCTTCCTCACCAACAAGAGACAAGTAATCTGCCCACACTCATAGCTCACCACTGCTTAGTCAACAAATAACTGGCAACTGATAAAACAACCACACTAGGGATATCTATAGCCAAGGTATCCTTTCTTAACCTAGACCACTATCAAATCACCCACAAGCAAAGTTTCTTACACAACATGTGCTACAGATAAACTCTTATAAATGAGGGGAGAAAAAAATCCCCCATCAAAACAAGAAAATAAAAAATAAGCAATAGCCAATCTATGTGGGAAAGAATCAGTGCAAGAACTCTGGAATTATGAAAAATCAAGGCAATAGGATACACCTGAAGAAGAATCCCAGCTCTCTAACACCGGATACCAACAGAAATAAAAATATCAAAATGATAGATAAAAAATTCCAAATATAGATTCTGAGGAATTCAATGACATCCAAGAGAAAATGGAAAGCCAACTCAAAGTAATCAGAAAAGCTATTCAGGAAATGAATGAAAAATTCACTAAAGAGACCAACATATTAACAAAAAATCCAGCCGGTCATGATGCCTCATGCCTGTAATCCCAGCACTCTGAAAAGGTATGATTGCTTGAGATCAGGAGTTTGAGACCAGGTTGAGCAAAAGTGAGACCCTGTATCTACTGAAAATAAAATAATTTAGCCAAACATTGTGGCATATATCCATAGTCTCAGTTACTTGGGAGGCCTGAACTCAGAAGTTTGTGGTTATAGTGAGCTATGATGATGCCTCTACACTGTAGCTTGGGTAACAGACTAATACTCCATCTCAAAAATGAACAAATAGAACTTCTGAAAAAAAAAACCTTATTTAAGGACAAAACACAGTGGAAAGTTTTAAGAACTGACTGGACTAGGCAGAAGAATCTCACAGCTTTAAGACAACCATTTCAAATTTACTCAGTAAAAGATAAAGAACAAAGAATTAAGAGGAATGAACAAAGCCTCCAAGAAATAGGGGATATGACAAGTGGGCAAATGTTAAAAATCACAAGCATCCCTGTGAAATGAAAAAGAAAACATGCAAAGACTAGAAAACCTAGTGGAGGGAATAACTGAGGAAAACTTTCCTGATATTGCTTGAGATTTATTCATACACATACAAGAAGCTGAGTGCACACCTGGGTGATTCATTGCAAAGAGACAGCCAAAGCAAAAATGAAGGAGGAACTTCTGCAAGCTGTGAGGTGAAAACATCAAGTACCTTACAAAGGAAAACCCATCAGACTTACTGCAGACTTCTCCATAGAGACCTAATAAACCAAAAGGGATTGGGGTTGCTTCTTCAGACTTCTTAAACAGAACAACTACCAACCTAAAATTTTTTCCTTGAAAACCTAATGTTCACATATGAAGGAGAAATAAAGACTTTAACAGACAAGCAAACCCAT